AGAAAACTTGTCTTGTGATCTTTATCTTGGCTTGCCGTTGTAGGAGCACCAAATATTCAGCAAAGAAGGAGGTTCATTGAGTTTCTGTTATTTTAAGGTATGTTTTGATTAAGTAGGTTGTAGAATTTTGTTTTACTGAGTACACCAAAATAGTTAACTTTATTCACTGATCATTATGTTTATTAAGATTATCTTCACCCATCTCTACTTAGTTTGATACCCTCTCTCTCAAATGGCCATTTCATCATTTTCAATTCACTTTTTACACAAACTACACAACTCCCAAATTTAATACGTTCATTTTTTTTTCTGTTCGACACAACATCTCGTCTTTTTCAGGTTTCTAATTTTCCTTCCTCTAAATATTCGACATTTCTTTATGTCGAAAAATTGGGTGTGGGGGGGGGGGGGATGAGAGAAAGGAGATGGAGGTCGGAATAATTTTGTTTATATTTTGAATTATTCGTGCATATACTAGTGGGATTGAATATCGAAATAAGAGACCCTGAAACTGGAAGTTGGGCTACCTTAAGACCAAAATAAGGTGAACAGGCTGATCTGGGCTGTTCATCTATATCTTGTTTTAGTATGGGGGCTCACTTGAATCCAAAAGCCCTTTCTTTTAACCAAAGCCCACTTAGTCTTATGTCCTAGGAACTTGGAATAATCCACATAGCCAGTTGCATGATGGGCCGACAAGCTGGGAGTCCGATTTAGGTGACAGTCAAAAAGCCCAAGACCTTCTACTCTAATTGTGTTGACAAATGTGTTCCTTGAAGTGAATTACCAGTGATTAGTCCACCCCTTGAGAATTCTATCCAACTGAGTTGTTAATTGGATCAACTCATACAGTAATACTTACTAAACGTCCTTAGTATACAACGGTTGAATAGTGGTTCCACCGTAAAGATACCTGCTGGTAGGTGGTTTTTAGGAGTATACAACGGTTGAATAGTGGTTTCAGTAAAAAATATCTTTGCGTTAGATTTTTTGGTTTAACTTTCAATACGGTTTCACAATCTATCATATATTTGAGATTTGCTTTTATTTTTTCCCTATTAAAATGTTGATTGAATGGGCTTAAAATTTTAGACATGAGATGGCCTTACTAGGATCAAAACTCGTCCAAAATAAAATAGTGTTTGGAGTTGATGTTAACAAAATTGAAGGATTTTGTGGTGATGCACAGGTGTCATTATCAATTTATCATGATTAATCAGAAGGATTTGACGCACAAGTTAGGTGGCAACTTCCTCTCAGAAGCTCAGCTTCTTCACGCTACTTTGTATCGTGCATCGTTTCACGTTGCTGAACGTAAGTATAATAGAGCTGGTAATTTCGTGGCGAAAAGTGCCTTTGAATAGTTGAATCGTCGATTAGTTGACCAACAACTTTTCCTTAATACTTCGATGTAGTTTGAGCTGTAAAGATTCTATATACATTGTCGTATTTTGTTGTTTTTCTTTACAAAGAAAGAAAAAAACTTCACAAGCATAATATGGTTGATGAGACCAAAAAAATCTCAACTATAATCATCTATATAATACCACAACAGTCAATCCAACGATTGATTTGGTAGAGGCCATAGCAATCAAATGGTGTGGAATCTACATATATGCTTTACAGCAACCATCTTGCAAAATGGAAACCAAATTCAATGCAACCCAGTCTCTATCTCGTCGACAATCAAAAGCCAAAAGCAGGGTGACCACTACTTCAGTCACTGTCTAGGCAGTGAGCTTCTTCACTTCAACAAGGACTGGTTGAGAGAAATTAGATGGATTCCTTTCCAAGCAAAGTACTCCTTGGATCGTAACACAACTGTAATTAATCAGACTTCCCTTTGTTTTTCTCGACCAATAATGGCGGTCCTACCCTATGTTTTTTTCAACGACCTAATTGCGCCAAAATGGTCCATCCTCCTTCCCCGCTGTTTACCATTGATTACAATCGATCTAAACAGTTCAGATTCGTTGCACGTTCGTTGGCAGTTCCGGTTCGGTGTTAACAGTAACCAACCAACCAACCCCTGGAGCTCTGCTCGCCTTATCTGATGATCATATGAAGCAATGCAGTCAAAATCGCGTTTTAAAACTTAAAAACTTACGATTTTACACTTTTAGGTCACTAAAACGCTTTCGTTTCCATATAAAAACTTAAGTGTATAAATCGGACTAAATTGCGCTTTAAAACTTAAAAGCTTAGCTTTAACGCTTCTAGTTCACCAAAACGCTTTACGTTTTTACGCTTTTAGTTCACTAAATGAGTATTCTTTTCATGAAATTAATTATAAAAAATATATTTTAAAGTAAATCACCAACAATATGATGCATTTGATATTAAAAGATACATACCAGGTACTTGGATGCATTCTCAACTTCAATAGAGTAATAATTCACCAGCTAGGCTCTTCTCGAATTTATTAGCATAGATGAAAAAGTGGCTTATTGTTAAAATTTATGTTTACAAACTTATTATTAAGATTCTATAAGTTGCTCTACTTTAGGCATGAATTGCATGTATTTATTAACTTATCTAAATTATGTGCATTCATATTTTACTGAGTATATGTCCTACTTAATAGATTTTTAGTTATTTTTCAGTATGCGTCAAAAACTTATGCTTTTACGCTTTGATTCTACGCTTTACGATTTTACCCATTTCCCACTTCTAGATAGAATCGCGCTTTTGACTGCATTGATATGAAGGAATGATGCAGACAATATTGTCCCGAGAGGTCAATCACAGATCCATCAGTTTTGAACTTGTATCCAATCTTCTCTCGGGTGGTTTCCAAGCAATCTCGTGGTTGGTTGTGGTCTTCTGAGCTAGTGTAAGGCATTTCTGCGCTCATTGCTTGGTTGTTGATATTAATCCAAGCATTCACTCTTTGGATCATACTAGCTTCAGAATGCATCTGACCATCATTACGTTGCTTTCACAAATTCTAGCAAATTATGCCGAAGTATCAACTCCATTCAAAGGGTTCATCAAATTAGCCAAAACACAATTTCTAGTTGTATCAAAAAGACAAAAACTAAAGCATCAAAATTTTAAAACATTATAAAATTCCTCTATTGTTTAATGGCTAAATTACACGTTTGGTCACTCAAATTATATAAATCTTTCACGTTTGCCACCCGAATTACTTTTCTTTCTTATTCGCCACTAACTTTACGAATCGTTTCATCGTAGCCACCCGCCGTCCAATTCCGTTAAAATCATCCTACGTGGCAGTCAACCAAAGCCTTTGACCGTTAGTTTTGATGACGTGGCAATTAAAAAATAATATAAAAATAAAAAATAATATAAAAATAAAAAATAAAATCATTTTTATATTATTTCCAACCTTGCCATTCTATACTTCGTTTCTTTTCCAGATCTGGTCCTCCAACCACCTCCCAGCTGCTTGGGTTTCTACTTCACAAGACTACTCAGATCTTATATTTCGAAGTGCGATTGATGAATGTCTCTACATTGTTTTACCTGGATTATCAGCTCGGAATCGGATCGCGGTCCATCCTGCGGTGGGGACACTCATTGTGTTCCTCTCCACCGGATCAACCAAATTGAAGCTACTCAGATCTTTACCCTTGTCGAAATTCCCCAATCCTTTTCCCACCACGAAGAAATTGAATCCATGGAGATGAATTGGATGGCTCTCCGGCGCGATCAAGCTGGTCCCCTGAAGGACGACCTCCACGGTCTCGTTAAACCCTAGCCGGTACACCTTCGTCCCGTTCGTGGTCTGCAAATTCGCCGGCGGGTTCCCCGTGTAATTGTACGGCGAGGGCGGGTTCGCCGGGAAATCGTCGGTGAAGATCCCCTGTAATTTGAAGTAATGGGCCTGGAGCAGAGCCACGGTGGGGAGGACGAAGGAGACGTTGTTGATGTCGGCGACGGTCTTGGTCCCGTTGACGCAGGTCGGGCAAGGGTTGATTCCGACGCCGATTGCGAAGAGGAGGGAGTGGTCGACGGTTTGGGGCACGGCGGCGGGGTAATTTGGGGAATTGAGGCTCCTGAGGCAGCCGGCGAAGGCGGCGGTGACGGCGGTGGCGTTGATTGGTGGAGTGGCGGTGAGGTGCGGTGGGGAAAAGGGTTGGATCCCCTTGTAGCGGAGGAATCCGACGGCGGTGGCGTTGTCGACTGTGCCTTACGTTGTTAGCCCCGAAACCGACTGCTCCAAGTAACTAAACTCCCTCTCTCCTTGCCCTTGATTTTATTTTTTATTTTTATATTATTTTTTATTTTTATATTATTTTTTAATTGCCACGTCATCAAAACTAACGGTCAAAGGCTTTGGTTGACTGCCACGTAGGATGATTTTAACGGAATTGGACGGCGGGTGGCTACGGTGAAACGATTCGTAAAGTTAGTGGCGAATAAGAAAGAAAAGTAATTCAGGTGGCAAACGTGAAAGATTTATATAATTTGAGTGACCAAACGTGTAATTTAGCCATTGTTTAATGGTACTAGAGGATAAGAAACGAATAGTAGTTTGCAACGTTGTGTAAGTCTAGATCGCCTTGTAACCGAAGCTCCTACAAAAAGGCTACAACAAAGTTAAAGTAGTTTATGTCAAAGCAACGAAGTCTCGTCAGCAAGAGTTTCTAGTAATTATTCCGAAAGTTGATCTCCTATGTCAAGGAACAAAAAACCAGAGAACAATCTTCTAATCACAAGTATAGTTAAATAATCTCATTAGTTCTCAATAGTATGAATGCTAATACACAAACCATTAATCACGATTGTTTTATGATTTTTCACCAATCAAACTTTAAATTGCTAGTCTCTATTTTCACAAACACTAACCACAAATTAATTTAATCACATTGAACTGATCAAATGAACATCAGAAAAATGTAAGAACCACAATCATCTCATCTCCTCTCCTCTCCTCTCCATTCCCAAATCTATAAACAAAATCCACTAGGAAAAAAAATCAGTCTCTGAGTAAGTAATTAGTTTACTTTCTTCTCCAACTTAATTATTTCCTCCTTCTAATGAGCCCTCACAAAGAAAAGACTCAATTCCGCGCCGGCGGCGCCGTCGGGATTAATCATATACAGAGCCTCCGAATCCTTACTCCCCACCACCCTCTCAAACCTCGCCCTTATATACGTCACCTCCCCACCACCATCCACCGCCGCCGCCGCCTCCTTACCCGCCGGCGGCAACACCCCGGCGCCCATCGACACCCCTCGCAGCAGCTGCATCACGTGAATTTCATCCTCCGACAGGCTCTTCCGGCGAATCGAGTAACCCATCTTCCGGCCGTTGCAGTACACCGCCCACACGAATTCCTCCATCAATTTCTTCTTGTAGCTCAAGGTCTCGCTCTCCAGCGCGATCCGCACGATGTCGGAGGCCATCTCCTTGTGGAACACGGCGGTGTGCATCGGGAGCTCGATCACGAACAACGGCGGCGAGTGCGGGTCCTCCTGGATCGCCAGGCTGACCCGGCCCGATCGGTGGCCGAAGATCGTCCCCGTGGTTGCTCTGTCTTTGAGCAGGTGGGATTTTCTCGGGCGGCCGAGTAAAGCGACCATCTTGCATCCCGATGTGAGCATTGGGAAGAGTTTGAATATTTTGAGGAGTCCGCCGCCGGAGGAAGAAGGGGATTTTTTGGGGCGTTTTTCGGCGGTGGTGGCGGAGGCGGTTTGTTGGAGGATGGAGAGGAGAGCGGAGGTTTCGGTGTGGCGGAGGTGAGGGCTGGAGTGGACCGGCGGCATGTTTGGTGGGGGAGGAAATGGGGCGGTGGATTGAGGAGGCAGGGGATGGAATAAAAAGCAGAATTTTTGAAGTGTGAGAAAAACAGGGGATGGGATTTATATAGAGAGAAATGGGGGTTTTGGGTCATTTAGGAGTTGGGGAGTTTAGGATTGGACTGTGGTTGGAATCTTTTTGAAGTTCCAAAAAAGGTATTGTTTTTTCTTCAATTATTCCCTATAGTCCTCTTGAATCTTTTGAAACGTTTTGGACGAGATTTGTAGGTAAAAATAATACATCTATATAACTTTTGAATAATAATAAGGTGTATTGTTATTGGTGAGGTATATTTATGAAATATTCTATAATTCAGCTATTTCTAGTGAGATAATTTTTATCCGAATCATGAATTAAATTGAGTTTGTGGTATTAATACTATATTCTAACCTCTAATGAATAAACTTCAGGTTTTCAGTTTCTAAACCTAAATTCGAAGATCAATTAAAATAATCGATGATTTTGATTTTTCGAAGTTCAATTAATATACCCAACAACCAGATTACTTGGAGTATGGTATACTCCAAGAGTGCACGAGTTGTAATCATATTGCTATAAGCAATTCACATAATATTCTAGCCTAAGTATGATGATTTAATGAGGCCAATTGCTAAAAGAACCAATCCTTTGTAGTTGTAGCCTAATTGTAAATGTTATTGCCATTATTTTGGAAAGAAAGTTCACACATACGAAGTACCACTAGATTTTTGTGTCATAAATAAATTGTCATCATAATCGAGTCTACAATCATGGTGCTCGAGACTGTCATAATTCCGACATACAACCTGTATCTTGCAACTAAGAAAAATTTGCATAATATAAAGAATGAGTCGTAATGAAAATGACTAAGTTATAAATAACATCCGCTAACCAAATCAGTAATTACTATCAAGCAATAAGTGTCTAGTAGATAACGGATCACTAGACTTGATAAGAAATGAGATCGATATAGGTTTATCGAGTTTTTATGAATGTAAAGATAGTTTCGAATGTGCGCCTTAAGATTTGTTAAAGAAAACCATGTAACACTCAGTAATTAAATACATCCAAATTTATATATTAGGGTCTTGAACTATGCATATACAGGTTCTGGAACTTAACCCTAATCACCCTTTATTAAAGGCCTTGATCTTTCCAAGTCGGGTGAGAAAAGGAGGCTAATGATCAGAGTAGATTGGGTTTGATGTGACCAAGCTTAGTGATGGTGGGAAAAAGAGATAGAGAGGGGTTGAGAAAAGGCAATTAGATAAGAGAGATCGGACCACAATCACCACATAATGTGGATGGCAAACAAAGTAGATCGATCGATTGTAGGGGGAAGAAAAAACTCATGAGAAGATTAAAAAGGCACGTAGTTGGCTCGGAAATGAGTAAACGATCGTTTTCTCTGTTGTGCAACGGTCCGGTTCGGATAGGATTTCGATCAAATTTAGGAAAAACGTAGTTCAATAACGTATTTGGTTCGGTTCAAAGAACAATTCTGCCTATTTTTCTTTGACTATTTATAAAATTAATGAAATAAGGATCGAACTCTATTATATATAGTTCAATGTGATCTAATTCAAACATTAATTTAGTCTGATACAATTCGATACGGACAAACTCGTTGTAGATTGGTAATTGTAAGTTTTGTATGTGGTAGGCCGGCAGCCGCGGGGGGGCTTGCTGGATTGGGCTTTCTGCATGTGCCTCTCTGATCATTAACTTTGTGAATCAACATCACTTGCTTTCTACTACTATATATGCTCTCTTTTTAGAGTCCCATTCCCTTTCCCATCCATCCATCCAAACAACAATCCCTCTCTCACAAAACTAATTATTGTGGGGGACGTGGGTGCATATATCTCATCATATCATCAACACCACCACCACCATTTTATCTCCTCTTTTACTTTGCTTTACTTGTGTGTGTTTGTGATGGTCCTGTTGTCTTGTGAATGTCTTGTATGATCCAACCTTAGCTAGAATGACATGCCACTCAAGCTTGATTTTACAACCCCGACTGTTCACGGGTCTACTTACGATGAATTGTGACCTTTCACCTATCATGACGTGTGAGTAGTATTATTCAATTGATTAAGTGGGCTTGATTTTACTCGTTCATGAATGTCCAATGTAGTTTGACAAACTCGTGATTATCACTTTAATAAGACTTGATGATCCAACATGAAGTCATATTGTACCGTGATCATTTATAATTCCTATTTGTAATGATTATTAGTTAGGGTGTGCCTACGGTGACATGCATGTCACGGTGACTTGCACTTTCCGGTCGACCTCATTTAGGATTAGGTCGACCTCATTTAGAATTCGGTCGACCTCATATAGGATCCGGTCGACCTCATTTAGGATTCGGTCGACCTCATATAGGATCCGGTCGACCCAATATGTTGTTTCAGTGTAAAAACAGTTCATGGTGTCTACTTTGGATATTCATATCATACAATTGGCTAGATGGAAATTGAAGACTAATGACTTGTTTTGAAGATGGAGTGTCCCTCTACATATTGAAGTGATTGAGAGCTCGATAGGAAGTCCAGAAGACCATTTTTGAACCTCATCAAAAGGCTATGCCAAAACTGGGAAACTGCCTAGAAATGGCTAAGTCTGGAAACGTGTTTGTGAAGCCTATTTTTGAGCTCAATTCGAGAAGCATGAATGCGAGTCGAGTCCAGGAGCCTCTACCACGTTAAATTAGGTATGTTTTTATACAAATTCAAGGAATTGGATGAAAGATTGGATATCTTTAAGGCTTCAAACAAAAGGGTCGAAGTTGCTACGAAGGCTGTTTTCTGGCAGATTTCGAGCACAAGCAAGCTGCCAGAAAAACAGCCTTCGTAGCAACTTTGAGCCTTTTGTTTGAAGCCTTAAAGATATTCAATCTTTCATTCAATGCCTTGCCTTTGTATAAAAAAATACGTAATTTAACGTGGTAGAGGCCCCTGGACTTGACTCACATCCATGCTTCTCAAATTGAGCTCCAAAGTAGGCTTGACAAACACGTTGCCAGACTTAGCCATTTTCAGGCAGTTTCTCAGTTTTTGCATAGCCTTTTGGTCAGGTTCAAAAATGGTCTTCTGGACTTTTTATTGAGCTCACAAGTACTTTAATGTGTAGAGGGACACTTCAGCTTCAAAACAAGCCTTTAATCTCCAATTTCCATCTAGCCAATTGTAAGATATGAATCTCCAAAGTAGGCACCATGAAACTGTTTTTACATTGAAACAACTGATTAGGTCGACCTGATCCTATATGAGGTCGACCGAAAAGTGCATGTCACCGTGACATGCATGTCACCATAGCAAAGTCCTATTAGTTATGTATCTTAATTCTAGTCAAAATCACTTTGACCTAGTTCAGACTTTAGTAAATTACTATGGTTTATTTTTGTCAACTATTTTCCACCAAAAACTCATAATGGTTCAACTTATTTTGATCCAATTTGATATACGTAGTCAACTACTCAACTTATGCTTAAATAGTTAAATTGAGTTTTAGTACAAGAATGATGTTAAACTAAACACTTTCTTATTACCAACAAACTGTTAACCTAGTTGTAACCTAAAAGCATTGGGTTCGAATCTCGTAATTCTCTTGCTAACTCTTACTTTTCATTTTAGGTAGTAATGTGGTTAGCAAATAGTTAAATTATTATAACTTTTCGGTTTTCAATTCCACATTAATTTCCAGAATTAAGGGTTAAAAAGTTCCCAATCCCAACTTACCATTGTTTTTAATTTACTTTGTTGCAACATGTACTAAATAAATCATTTATGGTTGTGTAACTTGTATCAATAATAATGATCTGCTGAAGGAGGGTTCCATTATTGAGGTTTTTCTCTCATGATCAAAAGTTAGCTGGCGTGTACAATTAGTCTGCCTTTCAATCCTTTTTTTTTTTTGGCAAACTAATAATGTCGAATAAGTGAATAAACCCAACACAGGACATTTCCTTTCTCCCGTTTCGGGCTACCGTTTTGCTCTGCTTTCCTCTGCCGGACCATAGCCTCGTCCGTTCTGGCGATTTAGCATAAAGAGCAACGGAAAACAAAAAGTTGCCAAATCCAAGACTCCCATTTTGGCTTGCTAGGGGCTGGGGTTATTTTACGGATAACGACCTATATAAGTATGAGTCGACACGCCACCAGATTGTCACTATATGTTGATACGTTAGTTTGAGTCATTGTCTTCAAAATTATCGTCGAACTCGAAGCGTGGGCACAAGTTTAAACCAGGTGTCAACATAAGAGTAAGGGAGACGCTCCAATTTTGGTATGCCAACCCCAGTCGCCGGCGACATCCTTAACATACTAATAGGAAATTGAACTCCCCCATGTGTGAACTCTCAATTTGAGCAAATGAAGTTTTGTTGTGGACCCATGGGGATGGGGCCCAATACAGGGATATAATGGGAATAAGCCCTTGTCTTGTCGGCATCAGCATCATGGCCCATATTATTGGCATTTCATATTCTGGGCCCAAATTCTAAACCCAACAGAATTCCATTGCGAAGGGGAACTGTGGCAACCTTGAATCATTTGTTCCTAAACCCTCATCCTTAGATAAGAGTATACAGAACTTCACGAATTCAGATATATTTTTCTTTCATATATATATATATATGGTGACTTATATCGTACACCAATTATATCTTGAGGTATATCGTCCACCAGCAATATCCATCGTCCACGTCCATCTCACTGGTTAGCGTTGATGCGGATTCTTTAAGATATATATATATATATATATATATATATATATATATATATATATATATATATATATATATATATATATATATATATATAGCAAAGACAATGATGTGTTTCACTAGTGCAATGAGTTCATATCCGTAATAATTTAACTCAGTAAAATAGAGAGATGAAACCATTGAAGTTGAATTTTAAGTCGAATATTAACTATTAAAATTTTATTTTATGATTCCAACACGCGTGACCATTAGTCA